CAATTCCAATTTTATAGAAAAAAAAAGTCTACTATATACAAGGCGGAAAATCAGGATCAACTCAGACTTATATCTCAGAATTTAAGATAAGATGAGATGCGTCACACATCTTTACTCCAGTAAAGATAAAGAAATAAAAGAAAGTGGATATCAAGCTCATTATGGACGTCAGTCAAAACACAATTAATTCTTGTCTATAATTCTCTGCTGCACTCATATTTCATATACTGTAAAAACAATTAGTCAGGATAACTTGTATTTTCTGTTGAACAACAAGTTAGTCTATATGTTGTGTTAACTCAGTATTTTGTGTAAGTGTCATCTCAACTAATGTAAAGTATTCAGGCTTACAAAATGGTTCAATTGAAATAAAGAAACTGAAATGAAGAATTTGAGTCAAAAGGGTATACCTTATAAGAACCAAAAAGTTAACCCAAATATAAATATAGAAAACATATAACAACAAGGAAGTGGCTACATAGAGCAATGGTTACCTCTGTGGCCTTACAGTCAGAAGGTCCCTGGATTAGGTCCCCTTTGCCTTTTGGCCATGATTGTGAAGGAATCGCTGTGTTGATAGAAGAACGTCATTTAAACACAAGTTATTTTGACTTGAAAGGTTTTTTTTTTTGATTGCATACAAATGAATCTGAACTTATCATCTCATACTCAAATCCAAGTGGAATAGCCTGTGATTCCTCCTGCCTGTTTTTTTTTTTTTTTTTTTTTGCTCCACATCTGTCATGGATAAGAATGAAAAATCTGCATAAATTCCTTTTTAAAGGTTTCTCATGTACAAAGCGCCTGACATAAAGTATTTTACTAACTTGACACTGTAAGAGATCATTGAATATTTCTTCCAGCACCTTATTATTTCAGTTGAGACACTTGTCAAATCCATATAGAAAGCTTTGGGAATATAGACAGTTTACAGACTGAGAACCAGATTCACGTTGAACAGCCATTAGCTGAAACTGTGTTGGACTAGTAGAGTGGTATACAGGGAGATCCAGAAAGAAGAACACAGACAGAGACAAACAGAGCAACAATAATAACAACAATGAATAAGGTAGATTTATGGCTACAATGCAGGTAATAATGGTATAATTATGTGTAGTATTAGCAGTAACAGATAATAGACTGATCACTCTAATATTAACGTCGGCAACTAATGATGATGAGACGGGGAGGATTGATTATGTTAATTATAGAAGATGAAGTTCAGCAGATTCACTTTTATATTTATAACGATGATAATAGATTTAGCTGCAAAGAGGAAAATAAGTAGAAAACAACTTTAGGGCAAAAAAATAGAGCCCTGAGGAACTCCACAAAGAACAGGTGCTGTTGAAGATGTAGAATCACCAAGGCTAATAGAGGAGCTTCAATCAGACAAGTAAAACCTGACCCACTCAGAACTTTCAATGCAAACACAGTACTATAGGCAAGAAATGGCAAACATATGATGTACCCCGTTAAATGCAGCTTTACAATTCAAAAGCATGATAACCGTGGAGTCGCCAGAGTCAGTAAAGTCCACAAAAACGTGATGGAGAAGGTGGAGATTGGGTGCGGTGAAGGGTTCAACAGCAGACTAGAACACCGTATTTAAGAAGAATACCATTTTTAAGAAAGTTGCAATGTGAGTGCAATTGGATTTCTTTTAATTTTTTTTTATTTAATAAGGCAGTTTAAAGTGTCATGTATGAATTCTTGATTGTTCATGTGCCCTTACTAGAAACTGTTATGCCAGGCCTCTGGAACAGATAAAAACTTCAACCAAAGAATCTCAAACCACTTACAAATTAAATGGTACTAGAAGGTCAGATAAGGCAGAGCGGCCTCGAAGAGAATAAAGGATTTAATGGCATCTTGGAATACATTTTAAAAGCATCCTGGAGGCTAGTGTTCAGAGTCAAAAGCAGATGTAATGTTGTCACAAGTCCTTATTAGTGGTAAACAGCAAGGCAGCTGACTTCTTAGTTCAGTCTTTAGTTCATTGATAGAATTTCTTATTCAGAGTATTTCTTTAAGAACTCTGTTGTATTTAAACAAACATGACGGTGTGAGGCTGTAAAGAAATCACTATGGTACAAAAGATTTCCTGTGGGGGGCTAAAAACATCAAATGTGAAATCTCCCTACATTCAAAGCTGAGCTCTGCAAACAGCCAACTGTTTATCCTCCGACTGCTTTATCCATCCAAGGTGACAACAAAGCAAACTGACACTGCCAGTAATGTTTGTGTATGATCTTATAGAATTGGACAGTATTTTCAGAAAAATCAGGCCCTCATTTAGTTTGGATTGAGTCATGATAACAGGATTATTGTGAAGCCATTTGTTTGCAATTGAGTTACTTAACTCAACAGCTGTGAAGTGAATACAGTATCATCTAAGCAAATAATGTAACAGGTGTGGGTGTTTTTCTGAGACAGTCCTCTCTACAGGCAACACCTTGAGTCTTTTGGCATCACAACTGAGATGACAAAGTAGAGTCGACAATTGTTTACCTGATATTTCTTCAGGAAGGTTAAACCAAGTTGCAAAAGACACAAGGTTTAAAGAAATAGAGAATATGGTACCAGTTATTGAACAATGGTCACTATACTGGAGTTTATTTGTTCCACTGTTTGAACAGAAACAAATTGTAATTCTACTATTACGACAATTCAAATGCAAAACTTCATCTAAAGTATGTATTTTTGTAAAAAAATTAGATTTAGCATATCAAAGGTCACCATTGCAAATTCACAGCAGAACAAAAAAACATGGACAAATAATACTAAGCAACAATTAATATGGGTAACAATTCCTGTTTGTACACGCTAGAAAGAGCAGATGAGATGCTGACCTTTGCCCGTTTTTTTGTTTTTTTTTTTACAAGGAAGGGAGACAGAAAGACAAAGTCAAGTGCAGAAGAAGGGTTCCTCGTGTG